CCTCAGTTCTAAGTTGCTTCTCTCCTTGATTAGTTTCCACCCATTGCTTCTTGTTTTACCCTCAGGTGCTTTGGAGAATAGTTTGACTCCCTCTTTTTTGTCGCAACCCCTGAGATATTGGAACACTGCTATCATGTCTCCCCTAGTCCTTCTTTTCATTAAACTAGACCAGAAGTGGGTTCCTCCAGTATGGTATGGTGCTGTACCGGTACGGTGTCACCATCTTGTTTTTTGCTTCTGCAGAGAAGCACTTTTTGGTACTGAGCATGCGCCCCGACCTGCCCGGTCTCTGATCTACAACTTGCCTGCCTGAAGCACTTTCCCTTTGGCCTGGATCAAGCCCACCAATGCCACCACAGAGCCTGTGGCACTTTCCCTACGGCCTGGGTGATGGCACTTCATCTTGGCAAAGACCAGGTCACCGCATTTGTATTCACGCGGCCAGCCAGAGTGAGACATGGTGCAGGCAGAGAGGCAATAGGCACGCCAGTGCCGCCTTGCCCACCTTGACCGTCGTCTCTATGTGCTGTGCTTGGAAGGAGCCGCAGCTCTCGACGCCCTCCCTCCCTGGCTGGCTGCAGACATCCATCAGCCCTCCCAGAGCACTGCCGAGGAACTGCCGTTCACTTTTTTTCTCCCATCAAAAAACGAAAGTGACCAGCATCGCACTAGAATTGCGGCAAACTGGTCTTCCCCAAGATGAAGCATCGGTGCCCAAGCTGAAGGGAAAGTGCCACAGGCTCTGCGGTAACATGGCCAGGCTTGGCCTTGGCCCACTCCCCATGTGAGGGGCTGTCGCCCACCCGTCCGCTGGTAACTTCCATGCCTCTTACTCCACTTTTTTGCCAGCGGGAAGCAGTGCCACTGTCTTTTTTCCTAAGACCCCTCTTAACCTTGCACAGTAAAGATTGCTAATTGCTCGCATTCGTGATAAGGTTTTCTTTACTGTGCAAGATGTTTCCCTGCATAGAGCGGCTGAGAGAGAGAAGCAGTGGAGCTGCCAGACTCGAGTAAGATGTTTGGGCAAATATGGGGGTGGCTGGGGGGCAGGTGAGATCCCCTTTTCCTTGCACCCCCAAACCCCGATTCCTAAGACTAGCTGTGGCCAGGAGATGCATCCGCCCCTCAGCCGCAGCTTGGCTGTGAGCAATTAGAAACCTTTACTGTGCAAGGTTTTCCCTGTGCTTCGCTGGGCAGGGATGGGGCGAGGCTTCAGGCTGGAACGGGCAAGCACAGCCGCTGCACCAAGAGGAGCACTTGCCTCCATTGGGTTGATCTCGTACCCGTAGCAGCAGCACCTGGGCAACTTCTATGAGGTGGAGGTGCATCCCAATGCCCAGCACCTTCTACTCACACCCACAGCAGCAGCACCCACTGCTCCCTGCCACCACGTACCTGCCCTCCCTCTTCGGAGGCAATGGAGGCAAGTGTTCCTCTTGGTGCAGCGCGATTGACTGGGTGGGGGTGGGGTGGGCCAGGAGTAGCAGGTGCTGCTGTGGGTGCGAGATGGACCCAACGGAGGCAAGTGCTCCTCTTGGTGCAGCTCAATATATCGTAGTGACCAAAACTGAATGCAGTATTCCAAGTGTGGCCTTACCAAGGCATTATGAAGTGGTATTAACACTTCATGTGATCTTGATTCTATCTCTCTGTTTATGCAGCCTAGAACTGTGTTGGCTTTTTTGGCAGTTGCTGCACACTGCTGGCTCCTAGTAGTTGTCCACTGGGATTACAAGATCCCTCTCAGTTACTACTATTGAGAAGGTACCACATATACTGTACCTGTGCATTTTGTTTTTCTTGCCTAAATGTAGAACCTTACTCTTTTNAATTCATAATTATCTATCAAATAACAATGAGTCCTTAAAGTATTATAGTATCACCTATCTCTAAGGAGAAAAAGCAAAGATTGGAACAAAGAATTCCCATTGGTTTATAATAAACATTCATATTTTCAATTGACTATAATGTCTCCAATCGTCCAGAATTCCAAGAATGGTTTCGATAAGCACCCACCTTTATCTCCCTTGAAATGCTGCCAGAGACCTAATTGACAATTAGTTTGGCAAGGCCAAATGTAGCACACTCAAACAGAGCTTCTCAGAGTTTGAACTGACCAGAATGAACGAATTGCTTCCTGCAAAGGCTCACGTCCATTTGCTCCTCTTTTATGTCTTATGAGAGGGGCCAATCATCTCCAAGCCTTACTCCTGAGTCGCTCCTTTGTCTTAACTGTTCTTGCCTTCTGGCAGCTCTGCACATGCGCACACTGGGAACAAGATCACACTGTTCTTCTGCCTCGTTGATGTCAGGCTCCAGAGGCTCCGGAGGCAGCACATCACTACCAGATGGCCTTGGCTCGCTCTCTGCCTCCGACACAAAGCCCTCATCTGAGCCTTCCCCAGGACTGGCCCATGTTCCCCCACAACCTCCTCAATGCCCAACTCTGCTGCCAGCTCTGCAGGCCACTTGTGGACCACAACACTGATCAAGAAAGGAGGGATACTTTGTAGATCCCAAGAAAACAGCAATTTCCTCGTTTGATCTAAAGAAACCCTCCAGATCAGCAGCAGAGACAACGGACATTTGGCAAAACTAAAACTGTGATAACCAGGATAACAAGATTACGAGCTGGAGCAGTTTGTAGACAGAGGATTGAAACTGGGTGAGACAACTTTCAATTTTTATACTAGAGACTTAAACCCAAATAAAAGCATTTTTTAAAAAAAGATTCTCCAAAACTAAGAAAGCAGTGATTTAATACACGTAGAAAGATTATGCCCAAAAGTGAAACAAATTTTTGATTCTGAAGCTTTAAAATATAGAAAGCCTGGACTAGAACTGGTAGTAGTATGAAAAATGACTTAAATTGTGGATAACACTTTTTGATTATTGGAAGAAATTGTATAAAGAAAAAAGAATCTCTTTTTTTCCCCTCAATTTTTTTTCTGACAGTCAGCTGTTTAATGCTGAAACCTTGAACAGGGATGCCACCTACTGGCGAAAGAAGATATTATACTAGAACACAGTGGGGAATGACCTTGACAGTGAGGATTAAGTGATAAAATAAGAAAAAATAAAGAGAACAAAGGAAATAGTGAAAGACAAACAACATCTGGAAGGCCTTTTATTTTGGTTCCATATCTTCTGCTGTTTTGGCGGCTTGGAAGTACTAAGTGGGCCTTTTGACAATTTCTAAGGCAAGGTGAATTAAAATTAACAAGAAGCTTCTTTGAAATTGAATATTTGATTCTGTGGATTAAAGACATTTGGAGAAATTTGGTAGGCCAATCTGGATTATTAAGACTATTTGTTAGAAACACTCTACGAAGCGAAAAGGAAAAAATAAAAATTAAACAAAACTTACAAATTTGGGGAATTTAGAGGGCATAAATTGGAAAATTCTAAGGACTATAAATTTAGGAGATTTTGAGGAACAGTTCCAGGACTGTGTAAATTCTATTAACATTGACGTTTTTGGTGTTTCTAGGAAACTGGGATATTGGAATCTTAATGGAATCTTGAATTACTAGTAACTCATTAAATGAGTATAAGATGTTTCAACAGGGTAAAACAAATATGCTTTATAAAGAAATATTGATGTTTCAATGCATTCACAGATATGAAAGGAATCATAGGGAGATGATGGAATTGATGCAGGATAAAGATGTAAGACTAGAAAACACTCAGTAAATGATAATAAAATTTAGAAAATAAAGAAGAAAACAGAAAGAGCTGAGGAAAAAAAAGAGGAGATAAAGCCAAAAATGACACAAGTTGAGAAAGATATGGAAGAGATAGCAATAAAAACAGAACAGACAGATTATACTCTAAGAGTTCAAAATATAGAAGAAAACAAAGCAAAAGTTCTCTCAAGAATGATGAAAGAATTGCAGATGGGTTCTTTAGAGATCCAAGACACAAGAGATACATGTGGTAGATGAAATACTAAGATTAAATAAATGTGATGTAAGGAGCTACAAGATCTCAAGGGAGAAGCATGAAAGATTTACCAAAAAGTCAGTAAGAGCTGACATTCTAAAAAGGGTAAGAGATGATGGAAAGATATAAAATACTTCTTTGGGTGGCTATTTTATTAAGAGGTAGAAAAAAAAGGTAGAAAGTAGAAATGGGGAAAATAGAATTATGTATATTGATATAGAATAGAATACATCATGACTACTATATGTATACAAATGTTAAAAGTTGAAAGATTATGATTATGTATATCTAAAAATATTACTACTATTATTACTGTGTGTAAAATATATCAACCAAGACAATACTTTGTCCACCAAGCACCTATGGATGTTAAATAAAAAACTATAAATAAAATTATAAAAAAATAAACAAATCTACTTTGCATAATTGTCCAATGAAGCCCTCCCTTTCTTTGTCTCTCCTGCGATCAATGCATCTCTGCCTGAAAACACTTCAGATACTTGCTGTGTTCCAAACAGTTTTTTTCATTTCGTACCTCTTCTCTTGGGGCAAACTTGACCTGCACGTTGAGCCGCTCTCCGGGACCCAGGATCCCATATGGGGGAATCATCTCAAAGACATGGGGCTTCACCTTGTGTTCCCGCATTTTCCGGCGCAAGGTCATCGGCATGTGCTTATCCACCTGAGCTTACAACAAACAATGAAGTCATGAGCAAAGCTTGCCTCTTTATGCCATTCTGAAGAATCCTTGTGAAGGACAGCACACCCTAGAGGACAAGAATTATTGCCTCAGCCCTCACCAAACTTTTGACCAATTTTCTAGAAACACCTTTAAGGTGTCCCTGGAAGTAGGGTGGTTTTTCATCAATATGAACAAGGATGAAAGGTTTTTCCTTTGAGGCTAATAGAGGTTTCAAGAGAAACAAGAATCCAACTCCATCTTCTCTACTGCACAGGCATATTCCTGATCCATAGTATGTGATTAAAAACTTATCAAATAGAGGATAGGGTCATTAAGCTGCGTGGGATTTTATTTTGCATTTTGAATTATTTGCATGGGAAAAAACAGAATCAGGATTTGTGTAATCAAGCCTCTGTGACAAATCTTACGCAATTTATCTTATTAAATTTATATGAAAACAAGAATATTGTTTTTCACTTCTAAACATTTTCCTGAATGTTACACAGATCAAAAGGGCTCAGCCCAAAAACCAAAACTGCACCTTTCAAGCTGCTTAACTTCCAGCCCACACCAAATTCCTACAGATCAAGTTGCTTTTCAAGATGCAATCAAAGAAGAGCAAAACAAGATATATTTCAGTGTTGTGTTACCTTTTTCATTTGTTCATTGCTTGTGGCAAACCACTCACATACGACCTGCAGTTGATTGTGAAGCTGTATGGTCTCTACCTGGCACTGTCCACACTGGACAGCAGAGAACTCCAGATTGTCACTGGACATGCAGAGAGATGGCATGATCACCGTTGCCCGAAGAGAGATGTGGAATGTGGGACCAGCAACAACCTACAGTGAATCGTATCAAACCCTCCTGAGCATAATGCATGGTGTATGACTTCCATTCTCCCCCAAACCCACCTACCCCCACCCTCAGAACTTCTGAATTAACCATAGGTCAAATGCCCAAGAGGCACATGGACACCACCCTCCCTGGACCCTCTGGTCCTGATTACTTGAAAAAGGAAATGAAAACAATCCAGACAATTCAGCCCCCATTGCCTGCAGGCCATCACAGTCCTGGAGAATCATCTCAACCACTGCTCCACTCCATCTCGTTGTAAGCAGGTGACACTCCAGGGCAGCCTTAGGTTCCTTCCCACCAAGCAGGGTGGCCTGGTTCACATTCCAAGCCAACTTGGCTAGATAAAGGCACAGTCATTCTGCTCTTGCAGTTGTTAAGATAAGCTGTTGGTTCTACAGACGGGCTAAACTTTTCATCGGATAAACTGTTCAACTCTACTTGCCCAGCTAACACATCACATCCCCTATCTTTTCCTTTCATGGGCAATACTGTAACTCATGCCAACGGGCGTCCTGATTCTGCAAATTACAATTGCACTATCAAAAACCCTACAAAGTAGATGATTGAAGTATAAACAGTAACCCTGCAGTTCTCTGGTATCACCCCGCACAAAACGAAGGCTAGACCTACTAAATTGCCCTGTCCCAGCCAGCTAATGAACCCAGTGGGGTTCAGAGGGAGCTTAGGATCATTTGAGGATCTGTTGCAGGGTTCGACAAAGCCCTGGTGGCTATCTAGAATGAGAAGGCATCTGGGTTCTGGATTACATTAGATCATGCTTAAATGGCCTTCACCTTGATCCCAGAACTCCCCCTGGTTTTCGGAGATGCTGAGGGAGATGAAGTGGGAAAAGAAACATCTAGAACACAGTTGGTGGATCACAGGAGCAAATCTCACCATACACAGGCTGGGGCCATTAGCAGTAAGAGCCCCATGGAACTAAGGGTAGTGAAGCACAAATATTTCTTTCTTCAGTGTGAGATCCAGGCCCCTCCTGGCTGATTAAGGCCACGTGGGAGAGTGTGTGTGATTGCATTAGGCCAAGGGTGTCAAACTTAAGGCCCGGGGGCAGGATTTGGCCTGCGGGGTACTTAGATCTGGCCAGCGGGGCCACCCTGAAAACAGCAAAGGACCAGCCCTCAGTGCTCCTACCAGCAAAAACGGGCTCCTGAGCTCCATTTTTGGCTGCCACGACCTCCCGCCACCCTCTGCCAGTGAAAATGGAGCTCAAGAGGGCCGCACTCAGAAGCCCATTTTCACTGGCAGAGCGCTTGGGCCCCCACAGGGTTCCAGACAGGTGTCACATTGAACTGGCCATGCCCACCCTGGCACGCCAACCCCGGCCCCACGAGGTCAAACACAACACCGATGCGACCCTCAATGAAATTGAGTTTGACACCCCTGGTTTAGGCGAAGGCAACTCCTTCTTGACAGAGAGAGTGGTCCCACCATTTTCAAGGAAGTGGAGGTGAGCTCCTTCCTCAATGCGTCATATTCTGACCAGTGGTGGGATTCAGCCAGTTCGCACCACTTCGGTAGAACCGGTTGTTAACTTTCTGAGCAGTTTAGTGAACTGGTTGTTGGAAGAAATCAGTAGGGCAGAGAACCAGTTGTTAATTTATTTGAAACCCACCACTGAGTCTGACCCACCTAGTCTAGACATTCTTTGGCCATTTTTCCCCTTTTCGGGACAATAGTGGTGCATAACTCTGTATCTGTGTGTACACGCTTGTGTGCCTCTGTGTGTATATGTGTATAAAACAAACTTTGAAGCACCTTGATGGGCAACAACACTTCTGTCTCTCCAAGGGCACAGCCGACACTCTGGGGGTCAAACCATATTTCGAACGTCTCTGTCTCACAGAAAGGTAGATTCTTCACACGATCCAGTTCAGTATTGAAACCTGACTCAGGATAACAGCAATAGAAACAGCTCTCACTACTTATGAAAATAAACAACTGTTGAACTCCATACATATTGCATCTTGTACAGAAGTGCTGGTTCTTTACTAACAACTGCAGAAGGGCAGATGGTGAGAAACAGATAGCCAAGTCCTACATTCTGAGCATTGCACAGAGCTTTGGCTTGACTGGGGCTTAATATGAAATGTGAATATAGTCATTAGGAATTGTAAGCATTTGGACTTCCAACAGAGAGATTCAAAGGGGGGAATATAGTTAGGATAGGTTAGCAAAGGTAAGGGAATAAGAAATGATATCAATTATATTTGGGTTTGCGGAAATACCATCCCATGGAAACATAAACTGAGACCTGAAGAGACACCTACAGTAATAGAAAAGAAAGAGAGAGGAGGAGAGAATGAAAGGAAGAGGGGGGAAAGAAGAGAGAGGGAAGGAGAGGAGGATGGAAGGGACAGGAAGAGACGGAGAGAGGGTATGTAGGGGAAAAGGAAGAGTAGGAGTAGGAGAAAGGTAAGGGAAGAAGGAAGGGAAAGGAGAGGAGGAAAGTAGAGAAGGGAGGGAGGGAGAAA